GGCCAATTTAGTTGAAAATGACTACCATGAACCAATACTCAGGTTTTTTAGTTCAAAACCAGCTGAAATCCAGAACCAGTTGAAATGGGGAAAATCCCTAGGGCCACCTTGTGACCAACACATGTACTGTAGGCCAACAGGTAACTGGTATTCACTCAGGAAATTCTACCCACAATTATTCCATCTCCAATGTAGTTACATTAATCAACCAACGCAGACATGCTGTGACACTTCCAGACAGTTGAGATTTGAACTATGTTCTTCTGGCTCACTACCATGGTGCCAAGACTGCAATATTTATTGGCAGCTAAGAGCCAACTATATTGTTGTGGGGCAGTAAGAACTGCCGATGCTGCAGTCTGAGATAACACAGCAGGCCAGGCAGCATCAGAGGAGCAGGAAAGCTGACGTTTCGGGTCGGGACCCTTCTTCAGAAATGGGGGAGGGGAAGGGGGCTCTGAAATAAACAGGGGTGGGGGGGCGGTGATAGCAGGTAGTAGTGGTGGGGATTGGTCAGTGAGGTAGGAGGAGCGGATAGGTGGGAGAGAAGACTGACAGGTCAAGTTGGCAGGGATGAGAGGGGGGGCTCGTCTTGGGATGAGGTCTTGGTCTTGGTAAGTCTAGCAAATTCAATCTCTCCACATACGGCAATGCCACCAAGTCTGGAATCAATCAGGTGAACATTAGTTTTTTAAGATTATTCACGGGATGAGGGCGTCGCTGGCTAGGCAGCATTTATTACCCATCCCTAATTGCCTAGAGGGCAGTTAAGAGTCAACCACATGGCTGTGGGTCTGGAGTCACATGTAGGCCAGACCAGGTAAGGATGGCAGCTTCCTTCCCTAAAAGAACATTAGTGAACCTGATGGGTTTTTCCCAACAATCAACAATGGATTCATAGTCATCATTAGATGATGATTGGATCTCATCATCAGACTCTTACTTCCAGATATTTATTGAATTCAAATTCCACCATCTGCCATGGTGGGATTTGAACCCAGGTCCCCAGAACATTAGAGATAGTAGGAACTGCAGATGCTGGAGAATCCGAGACAACAAGGTGCAGAGCTGGATGAACATAGCAGGCTAAGCAGCATCATAGGAGCAGAAAGGCTGACGTTTCAGGCCTAGACTTCCTCAGGGGATCTCTCTCCCCAGAACATTATCTGGGTCTCTGGATTAACAGTCCAGCAATAATACCACCAGGCCATCACCTCCCCTCTATGGCAAGTATATCGTTCCTTAAGGTACGGAGACCTAAATTGTAAACAATATTCCTGGTGTCATCTCAGCAAAGCACTATATAATTTCAACAAGACACTTATACTTTAGAACTCAATCTTTTACAAATATAGGCCAACATAATATTAGCCTAATTACTTTCTAATCACTTTCAGTAACTCATGAACAAGGACACCCAGGTCCCTTTGGAAATAATCTGCATTTCTGTTTTGCTTACCAACATGGACAACCACACATTTTCCACATTATATTCAAACTGCTATGCTACTGCCCATACATTAAACTGTCTAAATCTCCTTGAAGTTCTCTTTGTATCCTCTTCATAATGCCTATACCCAACAAGTTGTCATCACTAAAACTGAAAACATTACTTGGTCTTGGACGTGAATCCCAGATGTACTGTACTGATTCTCGCAGAATCCTACTAGTCACAATCTGCCAACAGGAGAAAGAACCTTTAACTCATACTCAGTTTCCTACCAGTTAAACAATTCTCAATCCATGCAAGTCAAGTATCCTCGAATCACACGTTTTAAATTTTGTTTAGTATCATGTGTGACTTTATCAAAAGCCTTCTGAAAACCCAAATACAACACTCACTAGTTGCCTCTGAGCTATTCAGCTTGTTACATCCTCAAATCATTTTGTAAATGAGTTCCATGTGATAAATCTATGGTGACTTTGCTCCATGCTACTTTTAAGTGCCCTGTTATGATATTCTTTATATTAAATTGCAGCATTTACTGACATTAGACCAACAGGTCTGTAGTTCCCCCATTTGCGCTCTACTTTCCTAAATAATATAGTTAGTTTTGCTATCTTCTAACTTGCAAGAACTTTTCCAGAATCTATAGAATTTTGGAAGATGACCACTAATGCATCCACTAACTCTACAGTCACCTCTTTCAACATTCTGGAACGTAAATCATCTACGATCTACCAGCTTTCTGTCCAATTGAATTTCTCCATAGTAGGTTTTTATTTTACTAATACTAATTTCTTTCATAGAACATAGAACAGTACAGGCCCTTTGACCAACGATGTTGTGCCGACCTATTATCCTGCTAAGATCAAACTACCCTGTATACCCTACATTATACTAACATCCATGTGCCTATCCAAGAGTCACTTAAAAGTCTCTAAGGTATCTGATTCCACTACCACTGCCTGCAGCACATTCCACACACCCACCACTCTGTGCAAAGAACCCACCTCTGACATCTCCCCTATACCTTCCTCCAATCACCTCAAAATTATGCCCCCTTGTGATAGTCATTTCCGCCCTGGAAAAAAAGTTTCTGGCTATCCACTCTTTCTATGCCCCTCATCATCTTGTACACCTCTATCAAGTCACCTCTCATCCTTCTTCGCTCCAATGAAAAAAAGCCCTAGCTCCCTCAACCTTTCTTCATAAGACCTACCCTCCAGTCCAGGCAGCATCCTGGTAAATCTCCTCTGCACCCTCTCTAAAGCTTCCACATCCTTCTTATAATGAGGCGACCAGAACTGAACACAATATTCCAAGTGTGGTCTAACCAGGGTTTTATAGAGCTGCAGCATAACCTTGCAGCTCTTAAACTCAATTCCCCTGCCAATGAAAGCCAACACACCATATGCCTTCTTAACAACCCTATCAACTTGGGTGGCAACTTTGAGGGATCTATGGACGTGGACCCCAACATCCCTCTGTTCCTCCACACTGCCAAGAATCCTGCCATTAACCCTGTATTCTGCATTCAAATTCGACCTTCCAAAATGAATCACTTCACACTTTTCTGGGTTGAATTCCATCTGCCACTTCTTTGCCCAGCTCTGCATCCTGTCAATGTCCCATTGCAACCTACAACAGCCCTCCACGCTATCCACAACTCCACCAACCTTTGTGTCATCGGCAAACTTACTAACCCACCCTTCCACTTCCTCGTCCAAGTCATTTATAAAGATCACAAAGAGCAGAGGTCTCAGAACAGATCCCTGCAGAACATCACTGGTTACCGAGCTCCAGGCTGAATACTTTCCATCTACTACCACCCTCAGTCTTCTTTTGGACAGCCAGTTTTGTATCCAGACAGCCAAATTTCCCTGAATCCCATGCCTCCTTACCTTCTGAATGAGCCTACCATGGGGAACCTTATCAAATGCCTTGCTAAAATCCATATACACTACAGCAATTCATTCTCACCAGTCCTTTGGTTACCTGGTATTTCTGGGAGGTTTATTTGTATCTTACTTCAAGACAGACAGTAGTTTTCTGACATCTAAAGGATACAGTGCAGCAACCCACTAACTCTTCGACAGCTCTGCCAAATCCTCAGTTTCTATTGCCTAGGACAGCATGATGCATGGGAACATCAAAACTTGCAAGCTCTCAATGAAGTCACAGAATATTCTGGCTTGGAATTATATCACTGTTTCTTCATTAATGCGCTAAGATCATGGAACTCCCTCCCTAGCACCATCTTGGATACACCAATATCACATGGCCTGCAGGAGGTCAAAAAAAAGTGGGTCACTACCACCATCTCAAGGATGGTTAAAAATGGACAATAAATGTTGGACTTAACATTGACACACAAATGTCAAAGAACAAAAAAAAAAGCTTACAATTAAGTAGAGACTACTGATGAATACAATTCCTTCTCTCTGCATGGAATAACAACTGAAACCCTTGGTCATCCTCAAGATGTAGTTCTTCTTCATCTGTGTAAAAGGGTGGAGTTGGAGATAAAGGTAATCATGACAGCTGATTGTTAGAAACAATGAAAGATTGAGAAATGACATTGCAAGATAAGGAGTAACACACCACATTAATCCAGCTAACTGAAATCCACCTCTGCATTTGAACCACCAAAGAACAGAGTTCTGAGTGATGCTGTCTGCTTACTCATTTGCAGAATACTATTTTCTATTCCAATGCTGTTTAATTCAGGTAAAGCAATATTTATAGCAGGTTAACTGGTGCTGTAACTTAAAATGTATGTGTGCACAGATGCAGTGAAACTTATTAATCTGTCAAAAAATAACACAATTGAATGCAAATTTTTAGGCGGGTCGAAGTGTACAGGTACTAGACATTATAAATTGAAAAATAATATAGAAAATCCATAAACCAGTAATCTGTAAATTCAAAAACATCCAGTAGAAGTTACTAGTAATATTCAGAAATATTTCAGACTCCAGATGTCTGTTTAAAAACAGTATTTTATTAAAATGAATAGCAAATTTCAAGAGTTTATAAAACTTCCATTATCACATACCTTATAAAAAGTGAAATAGATTAGAAAAGATGTAGCACTTCCAAAAATTCCAATCAGACATCATGCAATACAATAATTTTGTGTTTTATTTGCAAATGTAAGAGATCTCTAATTTTAATTCATGTGGTCTCTGGCCTCCTTGGGCTCAACTGAAACTTTTCGCACATCGTCTGTTCATATGTATTCAAATCAGTGCTGCTCAGTCAGTCATCAAGAAGCCCACAAGAGTAGCCCTGGAGCTCCTCTCCCTTCCAACTTTGCTGCACCTGTGTGGTGATATAGTGAGCCTCCACTCAGCAATTCTCACCCAGGCAGCAGAATAGCTGAGATCACCAACTCATCCCTTACTCCTACCTCAGATTTTTAAGACTCTTTTCACATCGCAGTCTTGGCGGAGGGCCAGGAGTAGGTTCCTCTGCCTGCACTTTCTGCTGGGCTCCAAGTACAAGATGGAAGTGTCAAACATTATAACTTAGAGAGCAGCTGTAACTGTTCAACAGGTTAATTGTATCGATTTCTCTCTGGCTTCTTAAACTTGCATTGAAGAAAAACTCTTGGAACACAAAGACCTTCCTTCTTATTAACAGTTTCACGGAACACATATTCATTCACAAGCACTTCATATTCAGCAGCCGCCAGGAGCTGTGCCATGTATTCTACAGTAAAAATATAGAAAATGAGGAAAAGGTTTTTAAACAGGGACAGAAACAAACTTCTACAGGAATGCAACTTGCCAGCTCCAGCATTAAATTATTAATAATTTCTACATAAGAACATAAGAACTAGGAGCAGGAGTAGGCCGTTTGGCCCTTCGAGCCTGCTCCGCCATTCAATAAGATTATGGCTGATCCTTTCGTGGACTCAGATCCACTTACCCGCGTTCTCACCGTATCCCTTAATTCCTTTATTGTTCAAAAAAAATCTACCTTTTTTTAAAAAACATTTACTGAAGTAGCGTCAACTACTTCACTGGGCAAGGAATTCCATAGATTAACAACCCTCTGGGTGAAGATTTTCCTTCTCAGTTCAGTCCTAAATCTGCTCCCTCTAATCTTGAGGCTACATATCTGTCATTGTATGGACATTCCTGTAAATAAATGTTTTTCTATGTTATAGATGGATTAACATCATCATAAAGAGGATCGTCAAATCTATTAGAATGGTAAAAGCAAACACTACAAATGTTGGAAATCTGCAACAAAAACAAAGTCCCTGACGTACTCAGGAGGTCCTGCAGCAATGGTGGAGACAGAAACATTTTGTGTTGAAAATGACTTCTTAAGAACTGAAGGTAGAAATGCGACTGGTTTAATGCTACTAAAACGCAGACACAAGAAGAAGAAAAGTTAAGATTCACCTAGAATCTGGGGAAATCTAAGTTAAAGATGTCAGCATAGATTTATTTTGACTATAATTTACTTATGCAACTGCAAAAAGCACAGAATGGATTATTTTACTAAAGAGAAAAGATTCTCTTAAAGTCTTGGTTGCTATAGTGTCTTATCGAAAATCAATTTGAACTATTTGAAATACTTTGTCTTAATTGGATTACAGCTTTAAAAAATTTGTTTTAAAGTTGTGTTCTTAATGTAAATCAATTTGTGCATTTACAAAGCATTATGTCTATGTCATCAATGTAAGCAATGTTGATTAAGGCATAAAATTACAAAGATATACTAATAAATTAAGGAAATGGATTTCAATTAAGGAAAATTCGAAGTCATTCACATTGGGCCTAATGGATAGGACAGAGTGCTTTCTGAATAGCAAAAAATTCCTAGGAGTCCACGTACATTGCTAATTAATAACGTTACTGATCAATTTACCAGATAAACAGTAATAAAAGGGGGTCCGCAGGAAGCAATCGCCACACGACCACTAGTCTCAGTCTGATAAAGTCATACCCTATCTGATTTTAAACTCACCAGCATATTGACCTGATATAGTAACAGCCAAAGAGGCTACATAATACATCACATGAGGGATCTGCACTGTATTTTGTACCGAGCAAGGAGTCACTTAGCTGATATTAAAGAATTTTGCGTCACAAGAATGACCCCACCTGATGTGGGTTACTCCTCTCCATCTCAGAACATGTCAAATATATACAAACATGGAGTGGACAGGTTATATCCATTTCTCAGGTCATCGATATGTTACACAGTTATTACTGGTACCGATGTCTCAGGATATTCTGCATCACCTAGGCTTCTAATTTGATTTGTGCCCAAATAAATCCTGTCCATGTAAAATGAAAGGTTTCAATGGGCACCCCCCCATCTAAATAACGATTCATGAGAAATAATGTAAACTGATTATATGGGTCCACTGTGCACAGCAAAAAAAAACAAACAAACACAACAATGGCATCAGTTTAGCTCCGTTGTTATTGATAATAGTTATCCTTTAGGTCAAGTTTCAAGCCTGTGAAAATAATGTTGTTACCATAGCAAAGATTTAGTGGGAGCAAAGTTCTATTGATAGAGTTTTCCAAAAAAGGCTACCATGTAATAATGGCTCACATTTTACAGCAAAGATGTTACAACAGACCATAAGCAAGATACTATTTAAACCAGAAGTTAATGTAGGTCAGCAAGTATAGAAGAGAGGTTGACTACGATCTTGGGCATGGCCAGGCAGAGTTTTGAAATAACATCAAGTTTACAGAGGTTATAATGTGGAAGGCTGGCTAGAGTGTATTGGAACAGTCAAATCTAGAGGTAATAAACATGCATTTGAGGATTTCAGCAGCAGACGACCTAAAGCAGGGGTGTAGTCAGGTGATATTACAACGAGGTGGTCTTAGTGATCAAAGCTTCAAAATGGTACCCAAAGAAAGGGATGGAGTCAGTCACTAAAGGATGGAGTTTTTTTGGTGTGGCCTAAAAAATAATGCCAACATTTCTTCCAAAATTTAATTGACAGAAAATTCTGCTCATCCAATAGTGAACGTCAGACCAGCAGTTTGATAATTTAGAGACAGTGAAGCAATTGAGAAAGGTGGTAGTGAGCTAGAGCTGGATACTGTTAATACATGTGAAAATTCTCTTCATGCTTTAGATGATGATCATGAAGGCACAGCATGTAGGTTTGAAATAGAAGAAAGCCAAGGATTAATCCTTGGAGACCAGAGGCAATGGTGTGGGACATGGGAAAGAAAAGTCATTGCAAGTGATTTTCTGTTATGATTAGGTGGATACAGTACAACCACGCGAGCAGCTCCATCCAGCTGGAGGACTACGAAGTGATGACAGAGAAGAATGGTGTGGTCAAGCATACAAAGTCTACAGATTGAGGAGGATGAGAAAAGAAAGTTTAACTTTGTCACTGTCACATACTGAGTTCATTTGTAACTTTTGATAAAGAATCATTTTGGCAGGGGTGGAAACCTGATTTGAGGGAATCAGACAGACAATGAAAGATAGGCATGAATTTTCAAGATCACCACAAATTCTAGCACTCTGAAAAGGAAAAGGGGTAGGGTGGTGGATTTCAAGGATGGTGGAAAAGTGTTGGAAGAGTGATGCTTGAAGGTTTGAAGAGGACGAAGTGCTGTTAACAATATCAAAATACATTGTAACATGTGAAGAAAATACTTCATAACATAATAAGAAGGGAAATTGAGTGGTCAGCTGTTTGGTGGAAATAGTGCCAAAGGAGCAGAAAGCGCCTTCATGGACAAAATTCTAAATATCAAGACTAGAAGTAATTAAATCAAGCAATATCTGTTATCAAAATGAACTTGAATCTATCAACTGGATTATGTGAAGAGAGTTATTAATAAG